AGATAAATAACCAGAAATACGGAGAATAGCCCGGTTGATGAGAAAGAAGATTAAGAAAATTGACGAGGACAAATGGATAGTTTATTGTAGTGCGTGACCTTATAAAAGGAACTTGGCCGATGTTAAGGTGGCTTGGACAATTTTTATCGACTTGATCAAAACCTCTGAAATTCCGGAATTATGTAAGTAAAGTATGCCAAATTCATTTGCGATAAGAAAATACTGGGGTCAACGCAAATCACTACTGAAAATTCACTAATTTAACACCTACTCTAATGGACAGTGGTTACAAAGTTGACTATATCTTCAGAAACCTCTGATTAACCTCAAAAATTTGAAATAGTTCTTGTGTAATTTTTTACAAAATTTGTGTATCTATTCAATTCTTAAAAATATAAGGTCAACGCCTTAACTTTAGAGAAAATCAGAAGAAAAGTATGAAATATTAATCTAACTTGCCTCACAACATCTCCCAATTTTTACAATTATAATTTCACGGCACTTTTCTGTCAATTTCTTGATCTTGTACTTGTGGTTTTGTCGAAATAACCATATTTATTGAAAAATTTACTGTCGAAAAGAGTTGATTTATGGCACTCTACCCTAGGTACGGTACTAACCACCCAAGCCACCTTAAAAAACAAAAAGAATGCATACAAACAAAGAACAGAATTTTTTTTCCGTAATAAGTTTTAACAGAACTATTTTAAAGTATTGTAAAGCAAAAATGTATATAAAACTATTGCAAGAATAAAGATTAATTTTGAAATGTTTTCAATGACCTTGAACGCAAGATGCGTTAAAACTGTTAAAAAAGGTGATCGTTTGTTAGTGTGTATATATATATNTATACGTATGTTTAATAAGTTACTTGAACTAATTTATGGAAGTTACTAATATTGCCGAATTCATTTACATGACGAGCTACCCCAAATAAAAAAATGACGGCGTATAGTTCTGGAGATAATGTCTTATTTTGGTCGGTGCAATTTGAAGCAACTAGAGTCGTAATCTGCGCGTGACCGTGCTACACCGATGGCGTCATCATGTGAAAATCCTGACTATGTAACGTAAGTGCGAGTGTCTTGTCAAAGTCGTAACATAAAAAACGGCTTGTTAATTTTATTTGAAAATTTGGTATGGTAAAGTTCGATTGGTAATGTGACCAATATGAACAGTTCGAAAGAAACATTACTTTACAAGCAGTGATGCGTATCTGATAAAAAAAATTTAAGCAGTCTGTGCGGCTAATATTAACCATTGTCTTTTAAAATTGGTAGAAAAATTGTGATATTTAAGTTAGCCAATTTCCAAAGACGTACAACTAAAAACAACAAAGTTACTCCATTTATTTATAAGCTCAAAACGTACGTACTATTCAAAGTCATTTTGAGGATAAAAAAAATAATTGAAAATTTAAAACGTCGATTAAATTCAACAAGTAACTGACAGAATTTCTTGAGAAGAAAGTCCCGTTCAAATTATGTTCCTAAATTGATTAAAAATAAATAACAGCATATTTACAAAAGTATGTTTTAAATAAATGAATTACTTTTGGAGAAAACTATTAATAATATCCATTTGAAATTTTTAGCGTTTGTTAACATCATTGGGACAAGCATTTCAAACTTAGTTAAATATTATAAAGTTGAAGAAGTTGTGATTTATTAACAATTGGAATAATAGGCTATTCTGACGTTTCTGTATAACTTTACTAGTAAACAAATGAACTGATTTCAAAATAACTTGTTTGATTATGTAGGTCTATTCATAACAAATTTTTTTCATTCCAAACATAATTTTACGCTGTATCTAGTTTTTTTATTTTAGAAAAACTGACTTTCAACTTTATGAATTTGTCGACCAACTTTACAACAACTTATAGATGTTGCCAAAAATCACAATCTTTTAATCTATGCCTTCTCTAATTACGATATTTTTGTTTGTGAAGTATGTCTCATTATTGGAAACGAGGTTCATATGTGGTATATCTCTAACACTATATTGATCGTACGTCCGTATACTGCGGCATTCCCATGCAAAGTCCTTTTTTTTGTTATGTATAATTTTTTCCATTAAATAACCCATTTACTTAACTGAAAGTTCTAATTAATATCGCTATCGCTGTAATTAAAAAATTAATTAAGCGAATAGTATGAAAACTCTTGAAAATTTTAAACATTATCATCAGATTTAATAATATTCTTATAAGTTGCTGTATCTACTCTACAATGAGTGACAGGTTTCCCTCGGAAAAAATATTCTTGGTACGGAAATAATTTTTCACTTATTTTTCCTATTAATCAATGTAATTAAAAAATTCTGCATCATTTAATAGAAGATTAAAACTTGAATCAAATTGTTTATGTAATAACAATCAACATGTATATCTTATTGTTTTCGATCGTATTCTACGTTTTCTACCCTTCTTAATAGCAGGTTTTCAACAATTAGTTAGTTATTAAAAAATTCTGTTTTCGCAAAAATCTTCAAAAGTTTAATCAACTACTTCTAAACCTTTTTTTCTGGGATCATTGAGGAATCACCCTGAACAAAGAAATCAACAATTAAACGCGTGGCTATAAAAATTTGAAAAGAACTAAAGGTATATAGTCAACAAAACTATTAATATTATTGTAACATAAAGAGATTATCCAAAAAAAACTTAAATTGAATATGCTGAACAAACTATTAATATTGTTCTAACATATAAAAATTTTATACCTTTTAAAAATTTTATTAACACTATCACTGTCAAACATTGTGTTGGAGCTGTCAGTATTTTCTTTATAAATCGTTTCTGATAACAATCTTTTATTACCACTGTTTCTTTTCCAACAATATTATTTCCATAGTGTTAAGATTAAAAGAGTGCCTCGTATTGAATTGGTGTTGATATAAGGCAGATTCTTGACGCTTATTTTTCAATATTACTTTTATGCTGCTTAATTTGATATTTATTTTCCTAAGAGTATCCAATGTAATATTTATTGCAATCCGAGCAGTTTATTTTGTAAATAATATAATTCTTATAATTGTTACGTCCATATTTTCTTTTCTTCCTTTTTTATTTATGCGATTCCTCTTTTCCAGTATCAACTATTTTCAAACTCAAACTGTCCTTATCTCCAACAGTCTAAAAATCTAACGGATTTTTCTTATCGGCTCTTCCACAACCGTCCCGAAGTCGTACCCAGCCGTATGTCCCCCCCCTCCCCAATATCTCACTCTAGTTACAGCACTGCGTGTTTTTTTATTCCGTAATTTGCCCTTGGGAAAAACTCAAACACAAACGAATTGTAACCGATTGTCGAAATATTGTTTTACTAAAACTAATACTTTAACTAACACTTGGACATAAGTTCTTGCGAAATGTATATATGATTGTGAATCACCGTGGTAAAGAATAAAATGAATAGCTAATAAACTAACAATAGTTCTAAGTCTTGACGTTATTTTGTATGTAGCTGGTCTACTACTACGCCCTATTAGCCTCCGTATAATTTTTGTAAAGTATCGAGTGCAGTGGTACTTGTGCGACAGGTAATTCACCCCATCATTCATCCTCGATATGTTAAGTTAATATTTTGCCTCCGGCTCTCGTAGCTCGCACGTGCCTACTACTAGTAATGTCTTATTAATCACATTGTGAAACTCCGACACGTGCGCCTACTATTAATGCCTTATCAACCACAATGTGAAACTCTGACACGTGCGCTGCGTTCTTGCTCCGAAAAATACAAATAGTACAGCTTTCCTTACCTTTGTTCTCTCCCCCCCCCCACATTTTTTCCGGGCATCGCGCTCCCAGAAACCTTACTTTTTTCCACGTAGGCCACTATCCCCCTGCATGGAAATAAGCTGTCAACTGCCCGTAGTTCAGGCAGTCCCGAATCAACTCTCGTTAGCGTGCCCGAGCATACCACTAGTCCTCTAAATCATCAGCATCTCAGGGTCTCTCCTTCTCTTGGCAACTCGACCCACCCGCACCTGATACGGACAAATTAGCCACTCATACATCATCTTGAACTCATTCTTAATCAGCCATCTACTCCCCCCCCACTTCACCAGTAGAATCGGCAGTAAATTTATTCTCTAAATAAAGTTTCAACAATTACTTATATTTACATCATTTTCCTTTTTTTTATGTGTAATCTCATTTCAAAGAAATTTGCTTGGACCCTGTCTAAGGCATGTTATACATATAAAATAAATTTTATCGTGTACATATTTTCAGTGATTACTGTCTGATATCATAACCAGGTGGAATCATTGCCCCTTTCCTCCCTTGTTTTGATCTGGTAACAATATCAGGTTGAACAAGCGATTTCATCCTTTCACAGGTGGCTTCAGGCTGTCTTTTGGGAGCCAGATTCCTTCCTTTAGGAAGGAAACGGGCACCTACGTAATACGAAATATAGGCTACACCTGTCCTCCCCTTTAATCAACCTCAGCTTCAAGTAAAGGAACGTTGCCGTTCCTTGGAACGTTAATTCGTCAAGGCTAAAGTTCTAGTAAGTTACTTCTATTACGGTCGGACGTAACATAATTTTAAATAGATTTTTGCCATACATAGTATTACCAAAAAATTAGTGAATACCCCGAGTGATAACATTAATACGATATTTTCAATGAATCACTCTTAACTTACAATTTAAATCCTGACAGTAAAGAATAACTTGATATCTAATCGGTTCACTAGCTGTTTTCGCATTTTTATTAGCAATACACTTAAAAAACTAATACTATTTTTCATATATATTTTAGTAAACCATAGTAGGTAGTCGTTTTCTAATCAAACTGAATCAATTTATTCAAAATTGTCAGAATAAAGTTGTGGTAATGGAAATTAAAAAAAACTTTTTATACTAATTGATTAACCACAGCTTTTCTTTTTGTGGTAATGGAAGTTAAAAAAAACTTTTTATACTAATTAATTAACCACAGCTTTTCTTTTATGAAATGGGGCAATGTAAATGATAGTTAAAGTATGATCCAAAATGGGTACTTTTTTTAAACAAATTTGTTAAGATGAAAGAATCATTGTTAACCTTTACAGTCATATCTAAAAAATTTCTACTGTTATTCCCAGAGCCCTATATTGTAAACTTAAAAAACGTACTTAAATTTTTAAAAATATCAAAAACGAACTCAATTTTTTGGATCAGATTATATTGCACTATATCTTTATCATCACTGTAACGAAGAAGAATATGCACATCAAACGGGCATGAATCAAAACACAGCTTCAAGATCTCTCATGACTAAATCACAAATAATTTGGCCAATAGTATTGCCGTCCCTCTTACCATAGACTTATTTACCTACACATACGGTTGTTCCATAGCCAATAAACTTATGGCTAAAAAGAGAGGGATAGAATTATACTATCTTCAAAGTATGAGATCTGCCTGGCGATATTCTTTCCGATTAAATGCTGCCTTTAATACACCGTGGAAAGAATACTATACTTTCATCCCTTGTGCCGTAATATACTATTACCTTTTAAATATTTCTAAGGTTGTTCCTCACTAATTGTATTTTCTGATAGATTTTGAGAGGTTGTTTTTAATTTTATCAAAATGTAAAATTTTAGATCATTTCACTGCACAGTTCTTTTAGATATTGTATTATAATTAAACTTTTGTTTAGCATGTAACCTTTTGGAAAAATCATGTAAGGTTGCATTCAAAAGTAAATGATCTAGATAATTTCTTACATATTATTTTTATGGTCGTGTCCCACAAAAAAAGGATCTGTTATCTCTAAAAAAAAACTCTCAGTTGTTTTTATCTTCATTAATATTAAGTGTCTAATTATAAGTCGACGAGTTCGGCAAAGTAGAGAAGGCGTCTAGTTAAAAAATGTATAAAATTGAATTCAATGAGAAAGGAGTAATTAAAATTAATAGATCGCACAAAATTGTTCACCGCACCTTATTACAATTTCAGCCTGTATGTTGTAAGAGTTGCAAATGTATGAAAGAAATAATAACTCTTTACTAATAAAACAGGAGAAAAATAAAGTTCAAAGTAGCCGTATGTTATTTTATTGACAGTGATTTTGTCTCTTTATTTCCAATGATGAAGCAAAATAATAACCGTTACAACCTGAGATTCAGTATTTAAGATTCCAAAATCCTAATCAATGCAAGAAATGTTTAAAAATTACATAGTAAGTTTTTATTTGAGGCGGAGTGCAAAATATCAGTTTTTTTAAGTATACTTATAAAAAAAGATAAGGTTAAACTGCTACGATAGGAACCTTTTATATCTGTAAGTCTGATCTACTTTTATGCTTCGTACTTTCTATTTCGCTTTCTTAATAATTCTTAGCTTGTCAACAAAGAATATTGACAGAATTTATTTAATATGTACTGAAAAGCTTTTATTTTAATTAGTTTAATCTTAAATTATATTAAAGTATTAAACGTATTAATGAAAAGTAAAATTATTTCTTTCAGTTTTCTACCAACAACATAACGCCCAAATAAATGTAAGAGGAAATACTACTGCCGTTGGAAATAACAACCAACACGTACCAACTTCATTAAATAATGCTCAAACATCTGCACTAGTATCGCAGAACAGTCTTCAACATCCACAACAATCTCAACAATCACAAACAATACATGCCATCAGCATGCCAATTTCTCAAGCTGGTACGTTATTTCAAGAACATTATTTTTTTGAATTATTCGTAACAAAGAATAGTATTGAAGCTCAATAAAAATTTTAATCATATACGATTTATCCAGTCAATGTTATGAAATTAAAAAAAGTTGCTAAAAATCTTTTAGAGTAAATAATTGTATTTAGTTAGTGGTAATAAATATTAGATTTTAAAAAGCCTATGGTTGGTCCAGTGAAATGTAAACGCTCCTAAATTTGCTTATAACTTTTTCGGAGGGTGTTTTTTTACTAAAACTCTGTGCATTTATTAAAAATATAGTTGAGCTGATTTTGTCGAAATAAAAACCAAAAAAAAAAGTCCTTCCGAAAAACTGCTATAAGAAAGTTTGTAGCGAACGTATGGACATTTTTCAAACATACTCTTATTTGTCTAAAGTTCCTTTACAGAACGTCAAAGTTTTATCCAATTCGAAAGAGTTCAAGTACCGAAAATGTTAATTACAGAAACATTAGGTTTCAGACAATAGCGTATGGCAGTGTGGCGCAGCCTATTCGGCCGATTTAGGTCTAATTCGGGACTATATTAATTCTAGTAGTGGCAATAGTTTTCCTTTGTGGAGGAGGGCGCACTCCAGAAACAGTGCAATCACTTTCGTCACTGTAGCCCAGGAAATTTCTTAATCACGGCATTACCCGTAAAAGCGCCCCAGATACCCTAGCAGCTTTTTCGGCTGCTCTCTTGATGTGCTCTGAGAAAGTAAGACGTGAGTTGACTCACACTCCTAAGTAGCGCCCCACCAGACTCGCATAGATTACCTCACCCAGAACACTCAGGTGGAAGTCCCCTTTAAACCATATATGTCTGGTGAGAACTGCCATTTCCGTCTTTTAGATCGTCAGTTCGATACCCTGATCCTGAAGTCATTCCGACACTATCGCGACCGCCACCGTATTTTGCGCTCGGCCTCCTTTCGAAATTAAGCTCTGACGTGCAATGTTATGTCATTAGCAAAGCCCGTCAGCTTGCCCCCTGGAGACATCAAAAGCAAAGGAGTTCGTCGTAGACCATGTTCCATAGATCTGCGCCAAGGTCAGAGCCCTGTGCAACCCCCGACGTTAGTTCTTGGTTCGTCTTTTGTATTGTACTAGAGTACTCGAATCTGGAGGTAGCTATACAGAATCTTTCTAAGGTAGTCAAGTCTGCTTCGGCGCTTCAAAGCTCTTATTATGTCAAACCATTTAGCCGAGTTGAGGCCTTTTTTATGTCGAGAGTCACCAGGACACTGATGCTCCTCGTCTTATGTAAAGATTTCTATGCCTCCTTGACTAACTCAAGAACTTTAGCCACAGTCATCGCCGTCGAACGTCCCCTTCCGAATCTGTATTGGTTGTCCGAGATTTTGACCTCACCTCTCAAGCGAGATCTTATCCTCTCGAGTATTTTCCCAGAATTGTCCAGCATGCCTAAGGAACAGGATGACGATGAGACGAGGGAGGGAGGGAAGTTGTTTTCCCTTGTCTTTAAGGACAAGCCTTCTGATCTTCCAGCATTCGCTGAACAGTCCAACTTGCAGACATGCCTTAATCATGTTTATCAAAACGTATGGTTTCTCCGCAGCTATGACCTTAAGGACTTAGGACGGAAACGCTTCGTCGGACCACCTTGCACTACGGTTCTCGCTTAAGACGAATCTGACATACTGGTAATAACTAACCGTGTAGTCCTCCAAGACCTGCCAGTCGGACACCCGTACCGCAATTTGTGACGATACCAGCAGATCGACGATCGTGCCCCGGTTTCGGGGCTGCCTGAGCGTTGCTGAACTACCAGTGTTTATGACAATAAGGTCTTGCCTTGCGGCCATCTCTAGCACCGCCTGTCCTCTGGAGTCGGTTCTTCGCAATCCCTAAGTGTTGGCCTTAGAGTTAAAGTCGCCGGCAAAGACAACATCGTCACACTCCCCGAATCCACGAAAACTATTCTCGAGTTTGGTAAGCCGTTCTCTGAAGACGATAATCGCAATGTTAAGAGATATGTAGCAACTCACATAGGTCACGCAGCCACTCCTGTCCACGAACCCCTTTTTGTCCCCTGAGTCGGAAACCAAGGACATGTTACTACGGATTAGAATGGCCACGCATCTAGTACTGTTGATGTGCCAGCTACGCCTCGATGGTGCACGAGAACTTGTTAATGAAGAACATATCCACGTCGTTTGCCTGAGCGAGTTAGTCAAACAAATCGTTAACGAGTCCAGTCCTATCAAGGTGTATCTGCAGAACTGGTACCTTCTCGCTCTAGTAGCCCCTTTAGCCGTGATTTGGGCCAAATTATGCAGTTAACCCAGCCGAGTTCGAAGTGGCTCCGTCCATCAAGAACCACCGCAGATGACGTGGGAGCCTCGATGTATGTCACCTGATTTCCCCCGACAGGGCCTATCAACAGGTGCACGACCACATTGGGCACTTCCTGGCCAGCAAAGCAGCCCCTTACTGAGGCTTCAATGTCCTTCTGGGTCACTGTAGGGTCCACGTCTCGTATCTCTCAAGTCAAGCGTGGAGCGAGCGTCCGAATGCCACCCGCATCCACCACAGCGTTTTTCAATGCCTCGGTAAACGCATCATGGCACTCGATATTGGTATCCCTTAGCTCAATGAAAACATCTGCTCTTGTCTCTCTAACAGACCACATACCCGCCCCAAGCTAGATTACATCGACTTTCTTTATGAGGACCAAAACCTCTGCGTAATTTTTCCCCTTTGCCGGTTTTACCATGATTGTCTTAGGCTTGACTCTACGGTGATGATTTTGCGTTCATCGATGTGGATGCGCGGGCTGGAGCTTTCTGTGCTTTGTGCTTTCTGCTTTCTGCTTCCGCTGAGGGTATGGCTCGAATGCTTAAGGTGAACCCACAAAAACTAGTACCCATCGTGTTATAATTAGGTCTTTGCATAAAAAATTATGTTTGGTCCGTCTTGTGTAATTTTGAAAAATAGTCAATGCGTATTTCTTCTTTTTTCTTAAAAATAAAAATTAAAATAGGTTTAGTACCTGAAAAATATTTTATTTTAAAAGTTACAGAAAACACCATATAAATGTGACGTTGTAAAGTATACATTACACTTGAATTTTTTACAATTAAGTATGAAAGAACTGAACCCAGAAACATAAAAAACGATGTAAAAAATTTGATTTGCAGTTCAAATCCCAACTTTGCAGTTGTTTATTAAAACACTAAAAACTGATTTACTGCTAACTTCACAGGAAGTTAGCAGTCAGCAAATTCATGGATAGTTGTGTTCGCGAGCAGTTAAGGGAGTTCACTCGCTAAGAGAATTAACGTCAATATATTGATAATTATTTGAACAGAGATCAATTAGTGTATGCAAAACTTTCGATTCAAATTTCAAATCCCTTTATTGCTCATAAAGTAAGATATTAATAATTTTATTTTTGAACTTTTAACGTGCAGTCTTATGAGAATCAGTACTGTTCTGATACACGACCTGCAATATCTGGATAATCGAGGTCAAGATTTGATTGAAAATTTTTTTGAAAATAGCTAAAAACTTAAAGATTACGTAGCTATAGTCTCATCTTCACTCATGGCTTATGGAATGAGCATTAAATTAGTGAATAAAATAGTTCTCCTTCGACAGCTACCGTTAGTACGTTGCGTTATTTCTATATATATAATCATGCAGGTTACAATACTGCTGATCTTATGTGTCAAAAAGGTCAGGTACGAGTGAACTCCCTTAATTGCACAAGACTAATTATCAGGTAATAGCGTCGACAAACTTGTTAGTACACTTGCCGCTGTTCAGGCTGGTTTAGGTGATGTGCCGTTAGCACGCTTGGCTCGTGGCAGGCAACGGACGCTACGCCTGTGAAGTTGGCACGCCACTTTTTAACAACAGCTTTCTGATTAGCACAGGAATTTGCAGTTTATTTGCATTTAATTTGCAGTTCAAATCCCGAATTTGCAGTTGTTGATTAAAACAATAACAACTAAGGCACTGCCAACTTCACTGGAAGTTAGCAGTCCACTTACCTCTACAACAACCATGCCGACTGCAAAATTCTGCATGGGCTAAGAATTTGCAGTTTTTTTGCATTTCTCCGAATAGCCCGATGCTGATTTTGATATTCCTTTTATTTAAATTATTAATAGTTATAGCTGATACCTTTACGCGTAACGAGACAATTACCCGTGAATGTAAGTACGTCTTACTGTACAATTTTATAGGATGAAGGTTCGACCAAAAGTTCAGTATTACCTAGACTCTAGTTTCTTATAGTTTTTGTCAAATGTTAATGAGTTTTGTTGGTTTTTCAAAAAAAAAATTATAACCTTTTAATTCTATGTTCAATCGATGCATATGTGATAATAATCTTTAAAAATCTAGAATTTTTCATTGTACTATCATGCAGTAACTTTTCAGCAACATGTTTACGAAATTCCAGATCAAAATATCGAAAAAAAATTTGAGAAGCAGTTAGATAAAAAAAGAATTTTCATATTTAATTCAGTACCTCGAGAAGTATTGTAGTAAGATTTGGTGGGAATAATTCTTTACAAAAATTTAATTTTACAAAAAATTAAAAAAAAAATTTGATCGTTTAAACAAGCAAAAATGAGACAATAGGCAAATGTAGTAAAATATTAAAAATAGTATTTGTAGTGCTTAAAATTTAATTAAAATCGCGTTTGCTGCAGTTTTTTACATGCTTGAACATTTGCGCCCAGTCTGGTGATAAAATTTTTAAATGACGGCTTATTACAAAATTGTTAAAAAATTTTTTTTTTACCGGGTTACCGCGTTACCCTTTTGGTCTAGTCACGGGGGCTACCCAGTCACCACCTATATGTGAAAGTGTATTACCGCACCCATTTTACCAATCTTCGAACTATTGTTGTACCTTATCATAACCATGGCCACAGTGGAAGTTTTTCCGGTGAATTACCTTGCCAGTTAAGCTGGCAGTCTCGTCACACCAATGGTGCATCGGATCCACTAGTCAATG